AAAAAAAACTCCATCTGGATGGAACGAGAAAGAGACTGTGGCTTAATTACATTTCTGGCTATCCATATTCATTTGTCTGTCCACATTTACAGAACCAGTCATGATGAAAGCTGTGTATATGTGTCTTCCAGAAGTCCCACATGTCCCAACACTGGCACAGTAATGATGCATCAGCTCGGCTCCGAGCGGTTTGAGATGTCACGGGCGCAGCAAAGTGGGTTGAGGCAGAGTAAATAGTAGTTTTCAGGCTCATACGTTGACTTAAGGCACAGCACAGATAGACTTATCCATCCCAAACTGAGGCCTCCTCCGGTTTCAGCTCTTTTGACCTAGTTTCAGCACTTCACCAGCCTGTCTGAGCATCTATTTGGGAGGTCGGCTTGTTGTGTGGTTTCCTCTTAATTTGCGCATTAAGAGCTGCCTATTTTAGCTCCGCGCCAAATGCGAAGGGAGTTTGGGGGTCTGTTATAACGACAGTCTTAAATCCCAGAGTGTGTCGACGTCTCTGGAAATCGATAAACGCACATTTGACGCCGATGCTGTCCTCCCCCGCCCCCCGCCCCCACCTCCATTCTGGTTGCACGCTGACCTCAGTTCTCGGCGGTTTTGGCTCAAGAAAAGCACCGGCTCCATTTCCAGTAAATGTCATTTCATAGTTACTGCATTTCCACAGGGCTGAGAAACAACATTTAACATGTAAGAAGGACTGCAATTAGACAGCGTTTCTCGCAGACAGCGCGTCGACAGGGGTAAGAGACAAAAACAGCATTTTCAAATCTCCTCTGGCCATGTCTGATGCAATGAATCAGCCGGGGAAATGACAGCGTTTTAGGAAATTGTGCCGCAACAGACACAAATGTATGTCAGAGAACAAAAAGCTGGGAAAAACATCAAAACCTCAGACTCCCGATGTTTTTTTTCGAGAAATAATTAGTGCAAAGTTCACAAACACTGTAAGTTTTTTTTTTTTTATATGACTACATCAAGCCTTGCCTTTGTCTGCATGCAGCTAATATGCATTGCTTTCCACTGAATGCTTCTTACAAGCTTAATCCACTCTTCTACACGGACACTGAAAAAAAAAAAAAATTCCTTTTGACTCAGTCCACGGTTGAATTAATATTTTCAACCACTTTCAAGTGTAACTTGACTCCACTTTCTTTCTGCTTTGCATTGCAGAAAATATTTGTCTTTTTCCCCCTCACTCATAAATTTCTTTCTTCCTCTCCTTGCAGGGACTGAAATGGCTACCAGATGTGGTTCCAATCTGTTCCTGTTTCCATGGAAACACAGGGACTGGAATAGGTTTTTTGAGTCCAGGGCTTTTGGCTGACTCATAAGGGCCTGAGTTTTTAAAGCCTTTGCTGTTTCTACAGACATGGCACGTTGAGGGCGCCCCAGTTCCAAAGTCGTGTTTAGACTGGCAGTTGTAATGTCGCTGAGCCCCCGTCCCACACTCTGAACCCTGAGCCTTTGACCAGGCTTTGTGTTATCCCGTATCGTCGCTCTATTTTGTGCTTCTATGTGATGGCGCCAAGGCGAATTTAAATTTCACGCATCAACATTCAAAACCAAGTCAGTAAAACAAGCAAAATATTGCTCTTAACGAACTGTAGAGAGAGAATATAAAAAGGCAGAGTTTCACAGTTCCCCCATTAAAGTCCATTCACGAGGCACAGAAATCCACGAAAAGTCCGACACACGCTCAATCAACACAGTTTATCCCTGAAATGCTGCACGGCGATGACACGCGATGCACATTTCCAATCTGTGACTTTCCCACAACATGTCAAGGATGAAAAGCCAGAGAACATGTGTTGGTACGCTCAGCTGAGAATCTTCTCCATCTGCGAGTTGAGGACGGGCAGATGGAGGCAGTTGTGTCAACATTCCTCTCTATTCAGGCAATAAATCTGACTTCAAGCCTGTTGTCACATGAAAAATGGGATGATTTTGGAGGAAGGGTGCGGATTCAAGTACTGGGTTTGAGTGACAATCGGTAACGGGAGTTAAAAATCGATTTGGAGACATCGAGGATTCTGTGGTTAAGCTGGACTTGAGACAGGTACAAAATACTGGGCCAACAGGAAAGGCATAAACCAGATCCACCAGACTAAACAGCCAGTCTGGAGCCATTCTGGCAGGACAGCATAAGCATGCTAATGCTCTCATAATGGCATTGTTTACATACGAATGGTTAATATCAACCATGTTAGCTTAGCATGTTAGCATGCAGATATCTGCTAATTAGAACTAAACATTAGCTCAGCAGGTCATGAACCTAAGCGCTGGACAAATTTCAGTTTTCTTCAAGCCGAACATCATTCAACAAATATTGTCTTTAAGGTGCTTCATCATGAATCTCTGTGCAGAATCTTGAGCTGATGCTTTAGCAGAAATTTCAGATTTTTAAATAAGCATCTAAAAAGTCATAGTGATGCTCGAGGAAAAGTCAGGGGCTCACCAAAGCCATCAGGGTCCATCCTCACTGGACCATGCGTGTATTATATTGCAATCCATTTAAAAGTTGAAGAGACATTCCATCTAGACCAAAGGGTGGACTGAGCAACATTGCTATCCCTAGAAGTTTGTTCCTTGTGTCCAAACAGTACTTGATTAAATTTGGAAGGGAGATCATCTTTCTAGAATTACCACAAGCAAATTTAACACTGATTTGTTGTCAGTGTCAATACAAGGTTTCATCAATATCTCTCCAACTGTAAGGTTCTACAGGCTCGATCGTACGACTTAACACTTTTGTATGGATAACACATGTACACAGTAAGTGAAACACCATGTCGAAAGAGCAGAATCCAAAACAAAGCCACTTTGCCTTCTGGTTCCAATTACCCATCACATGACCTATCCATCCATCCCTATATGCATCCATTCATCCTCCTTCACTGCCTTGTGGCCCAGTGTTGGCTACATCCCTCTTCTCCCCTCCGAAAGAGGACACATATGCAGCGCGTGATTAACTCCTTAGCACAGACTTTCCACTGTTTTTCCTCCAATGAAAGGAGCTCTTGTGCCCCCCCCCCACCCCATCCCGATCCTGAAGGAGCCAAATCAACAGTCCCCTGGTTCCCTCAGGGCTCTTTGAAGAGCCGCTGTGACCGAATGACTCTGCAGGACTCCTGCCTCGTCCCCGAGACTCTGCAGCCCGGTAGCCCACAGTCACAGGAAAAGGGTCAAATATCAATCAGCATCCTAATGAATCTCTTTGGAGAGTACACTGGATGATTTATGCGGCGCACTGCTCAGAATATGCTTTTTCAACTTATTGCTGTCGTAGGATCGTAAACTGGAAGCAGACACTGGGAACAGAAGCCAAGGAGAGGTCGCGACCCCCTGAGAACGAACAGGCGAAGCGAATTAGCATATGATGACTGTCACTGTAAATTGATTAAATGAGGACTGGTTTTTAAGTTCTGGTTTGACTATAGCTACATGTATTGCTTTGTTTTTATTATTATTATTCCAAAGAAGTAAATGAGGAAACACCAATTTAATGACCATACACAAATGGTAATCAAAAGTTACTATAAACAAACCACAAAAGACAAAATATACCTTACAGATGGTTTTTTGCAGCTTTTCAGGCCCTTTCTTTACAAAATGCACTGTAAGCCTATAAAAAAAACAGGCACGGGCCAGTCACTTCATAATTACACAATATTATGGTTTTAAGTATATGCAATTGTTTCAACAGTGGTATTATAGCAGTATTGTACAATCCTTTTCTGTATGAGTTAGTTTCTTTTTTGTACGGGAGGCAATAATAACAAATGGAAGGAACAAGAAGGTTACAGATTTCCTCTGCAGCTATTAATGCCATATAATTACACTCTGCGTCATGCAGTTAAGTGTTACACAAACAATAACATCAACAGAGAACAATTACAAAGCCAATGTAAACTTTACAGGAGGAAAGTACTCATACTGCAGGTTTGCTTCAGAGCCAACATACAAAAAAAAAAAAAAAAAGCAAATACAACACGAAAGCCAGTTCATCGACACCGAGGAAAACAGAAGAACCTAAAAGGTCATATAAGCACAGCTTACAAAGATAATAAAAAAGTACACAATGTATACAAGTAAAAAAAACAAACAAAAAAAAACAAAGAAATGTGTTGTACCTTGATAAAAACACATAACACCAAGACATTTTTTTCCTCCAAATTAGCTGTGAACATATTCTTCAGCTCAAAACCTGCCAATTACACTTTAACAGAACTTCCTACACACTTTAATTTATCATCCATTGTTTTAAAGCTCATGTCGTGAGTGCTACTTACTAAATAGCCAGCTGAAATAAAGACGTTTATTTTTTTCCCCTCTTGACAGAATTGGCCTTTTTTGACTTACTTATTTTAGAACACTTGAAATAAACACTGGCATTAGCTTCTTTCGCTTAAACTGATCCACAGTTGAGGCACATTTTAATACTGGAGGCACAGTACCATTTAGTCTAACAGTCTCAGCCCAAAACAATGACATTAAAACACCTTTTTTGCTTCGGCATGAATCTGCCAGCTTGAGATAAAAACGATCCTTGAGGGATAAAGCATCGTTGACAGGATTTTTTTTTTTTCCCACACAGTTCCCCGACGGCATAAACAAATTCATGTGAAATGAGAACAATTCAAACGGTGATATCGACCTAATATTCTGACTAAACTGAAAGAGCACAGCGGCACATGGCAGACTCCTCCTGCAGTCTGATCTGCAGGGAAATGCAGCAATTATTCAAGCAAAACTATCCACGGCCTCTGATTTACAAGGAGGATATTGTCCTGCCTTCTTAAATGCAGGATGTGAAACTGCAGATGTTCCTCTATTACAGGGAAAATAAGTGAATTTGAAGTGATTTATAATCATGACACAAAGTGAGGACATAGGATAGCTCGGGGTTTTTTTTTTTTTTTTGGTTTAGTGGTTTAGCTGACTGACTGAAACGTACAGTAAGAGCACATTCTGGTGATTTGGTTTTAGCAGAAGTATGAAGGAGGTTTTAAACTGCCCTTTTTTGCAGAGAGATCGAAGAGCTTGTTTGGCATTTAGCAAACCATGTCTGACAGAGTTGGACGACGGAGAGCTGAGGCCTAGAATATTTATGGATGGAAGAACAATGAGGAATTAAAGATGTATCGTAGTACGGAGGTCCAAAACGTAGCATGATCAGTGTACCTCAGGGTGTCAAATTTAGAACAACATCCTAATAACTTGGAGGGTGAAAGAGGAAGAAAATAAAAAATACTTTCATTGCTAAACATATTAGCCGTGTTTCCATACACTTGCCGAGAGACTTTGAAGCAAGAAGAATAAAAATATGACTTGTTTCGATTAACTGCTTTGAAAAGCATAACCTGGGCAAAGTAGTGCCATCAGAAAGTGTTAAAATATGCTACTAGAAGAAGTCAGAAACAAAACCAGTTCTTTGCCAACAGCAAAGGAAAACCTTGAACAAGAAGAAAAACAAAACCTTGCTCATATATAAGAAAAAAAAATGGATAGAAGTCTGTAGAATTGTTTTCAAGTGGGCACGTTTTAAGACAAAAAAAAAAAAAGTGGGAACAGCTCATCAGTCATGTGAATTAAATGTCAGAGCAAAGTTGTTCCCATCAACCACTATGTGCATTAACTCTTTTTCGAAAGTCAAAAACCGCCTCGAGCAAATGTAAGACGTTTCCATCGACATTTTCCAACGCGATGCCTCAAAATGCGCATAAAAATACATTATGGAAACACGGCTAATGACATCCAGCAAATCTCGCTGAGAAAGTTTTGCTCTTAGCTATCAATATTCCAGTAGATCCTCATCTGCAAAGATAACCTTGACATTAAGACTGAGGATTAAAATCTTAAGCTGGTTTACGTGGAGAACTGAATCTCTGCATGTTGGTCCATCCGAATGAGAATAAAAAAATTAATAAAAGAATAGCTTGCAATCCTCAGAGGATCTAATTTTCTGGTTATTTTTAGTACCTTTAGTACCTGTGGAGAGCATACATAAAAATAGCTATTTTTCTGACAATCTGCAAATTACAGTTACGCAACCTCAAAAGCAATCCATATATAAATATAGTGGCGGGCATACTGCAGAGGAACAGAGATGAATGAACTTTGGATTATGTTTTTTGCGCCACTGTTCTCACAGTCGTGTCCGGCTTAGCCACAGGATGTGGTGTGAGGTTGATACATAGTTGTTACACAAACAAACAAACAAAAAAAAAGGTTTCTTGAAATGAAATACATTGGTGTATAGAGGTTATTATAGTACGCCGCATTGATACAACTCAGTTACGGTTTAAAGCATTTCTTACTCTTGACTGGTCCTGGAGTCACAGCACACTCACACAGACAAAAAAGTTTAGATTCCTCGATTGAAAAACTACGTGGTGGTTCACCTTTCAACAAAATCATTTTAGTCTTCTGGAAATCCATCACAAATTTTGTGCAATTTGTTGTCAGAATCACTTATTTGACAACCTGTGGTGGCATAATGGCTGTCTTTGGCTGGGGTGTTTTACTTTCCGGTGTATCCAAAGTACCCTCTTTGCCTTTCTTCCTGGGTGGCTTTTTTATTGGAGTCTTCTTTGGCGTAGGATCCGACGGGTCCCCTGCCCTGGAGCCGTTCAAGTCCTGCTTCTCCGGGCTCTTGGCTTCGGGGGTCCCGAGGTTGGTGGCGACGGGCGCCACCATCTTTTGGAGGCTGCTCGAGGTCGGCAGCAGGGGCTTGTTGGACCCCTGCTGGCTCAATCCGCTGGAGGCCGTCCTCTTGGCTTTCTGTGGAGGTGTGGGCTTCTCCCGGGTTCCTTTGGGTGTGGAGAGGCCGTTGGTCTTAGTCAGTCCTGTCCCCTCATTCCTGTTGATGCTTTGGGTTTTCTCCTTGAGCTGAGCGGCCAGCAACGTGGCAGCCTCCGAGTTCATGTGAGGATGGATGACCTTGGGGCTCTTGGGCGGCTCCTTGGGGGTCTGCTTTGGACTCTCAACATTCTTCTTCTCAGATGAGGAGCTGTGGAAGTTACTAATCTTCTTGAGGGCATTCTGAACAACACCATTGATGTGCTCCATGTGGCTGGGACTGCTGTGCTCGTCCCCAGACTTCTTACCTCGCAGAGGTTTGTGTTTGCTGGGGGAGCCGTTCGCATCTGCCTCCTTCCCCTCCTGTTTCTTCTGCTGCTCACGATTCTTTTCCTTCATTTTCTGCCGCTCTTCGCTCTTGGAGGAGCCATCGCTGGAGCTCCTCTTTTTCTCCTTCGACACCCCAAGTGCCTTAATTCCTCCCTGCTGCTCTGGCTGAGGGGTTCCTGTCGTATTTCCGTGTATCCATGACACCTTTGGCTTCGTGGACGGGTCTGGCGGCCGGGGTTTGGGCTTGCCAGGTGAAGGTGGTGGCTTCCCATTGCGCTTGGCCTCTGGTGTGGGTGTACCATCGCCGTCCTTGCCGCTGCCCTCATCCTCCTTGGACTGCTTGGAGAGGCGGGCGATGCGGGCGTAGACGGCTGCAGCTGTGGACTCGGAGCCGCTGGTGGAGCCTTCGCTGTCGGAGGACTTGAGTAGAGGCTGCTCGCTGCCTTCTGGTTTGGCGATGCTTGTGTCTTTCAGCGAGGTGTACTCCCCTGCATCGTCTTCATCGGGGACGGCCTCTGGCTTCTCTGCTGCTGGGCTAGGGCTCCGTTTCTCTTTGGTTTCATTTGTAGACTCTGGGGATCGTTGGCAGATCAACAGATATTAGTCAACTACTTGAGGACTTTGGTAATAGAGCCTTAAATGGTCTGTTATGACCAGTAGCTAATGGCTTCTATGCCGTATGCCTGCTGAGCCCCTGTCTCCTAAAACTTACCTATACATCCAAACTGAATAGACCTAAGTTTCATTTTCATTAGTTGTCACTTTGGTTAAGTTTAGACACCAAAACTACATGGTTTGGTTTAAGAAAATATCCTGGTTTGGTTACAATAAACCCTTTCATAACACATCTAAAGTTTCTTCTCCATTTTCTGGGTTACCAGGGTGGCAAGTTCCATCTAATATATGAATGACTGGCTGAGAAGGAGCGACAGTAAAGTAATAACATAAATGGTAAAGATATGTTGATATGAAACTTTAAGAGAACATAAATTTTAAGAGACGGGCTAGTTTTGTCAACTTTTAACACAAATAATATTGCTTGTGTCACACAGCCACTTTTCCAACTTGTCAATTCCCTTCTTGTGCGACACTCTTAAAAGTCTCAAACACAGTTTACGTGGTTTGAGTTAAAACACGATGTTGCATAAACTTAATATTATGTGCAATTTAAACTCAACTATTCAAATTTAAAACAAAACTCAGGTTTTGGTAGCTCCATAAAATTGGCTTGATAATTAAAATTTTCCCTTCCCTACTTGCTTAACACTAAAAAAATATTTTTTTTATTTTATTTTTTAAATTTGCTGATTTAAAACGTACAAAACACCTAAAAATCCTCTTGAATACGATGGAAAAACTAGTTGAAACTACTTATTTTTTTAATGAATATTGTAAAAAGGCTATTTATGCTACCAAATGTTAAATAAGTAGTAATTTAAGATATCTTTGGTTATGGAGAAAAAAGCTAATTCCTAAACTAAAAAAAGTGTAGTTCATTGGTTGAACATAATTTCACTAGAAGTCGTCATAACTTAAAAACTGTGTTGGGCCCAAACAATATTTTTTATAGTGCACACCATGTTTTAGCATTTATATCAATCCCATAAAAACAATTGTGTGCAGCAAATCAGTCAGTGAAGACAATCAGTGAATAATGATAATAAAATAGAACAACTTAATAGTAGAGAACAAAAAACAAATGGTAGGCTGTAAATCTGAAGCTTCTGAACAATGTCTATTATCTGTGACCTTCCCAAATAGCATTTCATTGTGTCCTTCATAATGAGACATTTATTCCTGTTAATGCCCAACAGGAAAACACTAACACACATGTTATCTAAAGATATCTCTACTATTTAAATTGCTAATTCGGATGCTTGTGCTGGACTGACTCCAATACAAAAGCCCCTATCAGTGCAGCTCTAATCCAAAAACCTTTCATGATGTTTTCAGGTATTATTTTACGCCTGAGGCTTTTTCCACTCAGACTGCATTGTTTCAAAGTCCTTGAAACATTAATAGGGAGAATGTGAACTCCACCGAACCGCTACGTGAGCGCTAAAAAGCCATCAGTCAAACGAGCGCCGAACAAAAAAATCCCCACAAATAAAGCCTTATTTGCAGTGTCATGCGTCCAAAATAGAAACCGATGGAACGGGGGTGCTTTCCACCAAACTTCAAGTAGTTAGTCACTGTTTGGATTCGTGCCACATGCTGACTTGACCATTCCATTTCCTGTTTATACTTGACTTGTTCTCAAAGCTAAACCTGAACTCAGATGGCTTGTGATTAAAAGCCGACTATCTCCGTAATGAGATTTGCAGAAGTGTGTGACTCACTGCACGGTCAAAGCGAGCAGCCCGACTCCTTCAGAAACATGTGCCTATCTGTATGTTACGGCCCCTCTGTGCCAAAGACAAGCTGTGCGCCATTCCAGATAGCTAAACTGTTTATTTACTCAAATGATGACTCACCTTCATGGGGAACACAGTAAACTGGGCCCTCGTCTCCGCTCTCAAAGGAAGAGAAGGACTCCTGGGACGACCAGGACGAGGGGGAGGGCTGCTCGGCCACAGACGGCGGCTCGATGAAGCTGCAGTTGAAGGTGTTCTCCGGGTCGTGGTGGGCTACTGTGAACAGAAAACAAATGCAGAAGCCAAAAGGTCAGTCGGAGGGTATTGTACTGTGTTACAAGAACAACAGTCTGTTCTCACTCAGTCGCACAGCGGCGTCGAGGAAAGCGTTGGTTTAAGTGAGTGTGCAGAAAAACTGGGTTTTATTGGTTTTGCATGTGAGAAAACTGAGGCTCTGACATTATGGGTTCTCCAAAAACAAATGCTGATATTTTTAAAAATTGCTGCTCACACCCACAGCTGATTAGACTCAGATTTTTTTTAAATATTGAACTTCATTCTAAGCAGGTGAAAAGAAAACAGAAGAATTTCAAAGAAGCTCTTAATCAAAACCACGATTAATGATGCTGCTTTGGTGGGTCAGCAGCTCTACTGACCCAAACCATCCGTCCGGTTATAGGAGGAATCAACCAATGCATTAGTCTGTTAAAAGCCAAGATACAGACAAGATACAAGAAGAAAAAGGGAATCTCTACATCTACTGGCCTGTACACATTCTCCAAAAAAAGCAAACGATCCCATTGAACCCTTACATACTGTTTGACAGCAGCATAAACACCCTAACGTTATTGTTTCAGCCTAAAATTTGATGACTTCTCCTAAAAATATACATATAAATGAGAATATTTTATATTTTTTATACTTGTACAGGTGCCACAAATTGTTGTACTTTGAGGCTGTTCTGGTCAAATTTGACCCAAATCTAATGAAACAGATTTTAGATCCTCCAGCGTTGGTCAAAACAAGGAAAAAAGTGGGTTTTAGGAACTCTTGAGCCGGTAGCAAAGGGAGACATTAATGTCGAACACCATCAGCTGCTCCTTACTTCTGTGTTGGGCTGCAGGCTGGATTTGGCAGGAGAAAATGTCACTGACTCAAGACTGGTACCTCCCATGCCATTTTTGTGTTTTCAGATCTTAGACAAAATAGGTAGAAGATATTTTTTTCTCCAAAAACAAGTGGTGTAATATCTAAAAAATTGCTTTTTTTGCCCTCTGACACTTTAAGTAAGGATTAATTATCTTTTCATTAACGTCAGAGTGGCTATTTATACATTCTAAATAGATCTGTAGCTCAGAATGTGGTATAGAGAGTTCCATATTGTGAAGGCACAGAACATGAACAGTATGTAAGGGTTTAAAAACCATGGGACTGCAACGAATAGTATAATTTCTGATAAAGAACTGGACTCTAAGTCGAACTGTTGCCATGTCATGCAGTCTTTTCTGCTCTTCTCTAGTATTTCGGTGTTCGGCCAAATGAGCCACAAATGGTTCTTTCGTCATCTTCCACTGAATCCTCTCCCTCGAATGTAGGTCAAGTCGTGTTTCTCTCCCTCCTGCTCTCTCAGTCTTCAGACGCCGCAGCATTCTGCTGACCCTTCACTCTCAGGACAGCTGCGGTTTCTGGCGGACACTCTGGGTTAATCTTCCCATCATGAACGGCGCAGTTTTGGCCCAAACTGCGCTGGGCGTTAACTCGACACGACCGACCACATCAGATGCTCGTGCCCGGTGACACATGGGTCCATCCGTTTGTTTAGACGTCAGATAAACCCTGCATGGAAGGAATCTCCCTAACTATACCAGGACCCCGGCCAGGAACAAATCCTCGCTCCTTAGCTGTTGTTGTTTGACTATAACTAAAACGATGTGCTACTTTACGAGATCTACAGCTGGATTTTTTTCAGACTCGACGAAATGCAAAAACACTGCTAGATGAGAAAGCGCGCTGAGCCTGCGTTTCAGCTGTAAAGCCGTAGGAAGCCTGCATCGCTCAGATTTCACACAGCTTTTTACATTTTCATTACATCTCCCGTTGTTTAGCGTTACATATATGCATGCAATTTTGAAATGCTCAAAACATGACATTAAAAAGCAATACGGTCACAGTGCATTTAGCAGATGACCTGTTTAGAGGTTCCTCTCGCCATAAAGCGTAAACCAAACATGTCTGGTTTATTTTTCATCATAAACCAGTCTGATGTTTATTGTCTTGCTTCCCGCGACCATCCATCTGGCTCGCACCATGTGACTTTCGGTTGCTTTCAACTTTTTTTTTCCTCAAACAACAGCCAGATTTAGTCATGTTGTTGTTGCTGCTTCTCTTGTGTTTTCTCTCGTTTTTTCTGGTTTCGATTTTAGCTGAAGGATGCTGTTTTAAAGCAAGGCATCGTGACTCATTAATCTTTATTGATACCACTAATCTGAAGCAATTGTTTCTTTAAAAAGATTCCCCTACATTTTACCAAACCCGAGTGGTCTGAACCTCCTGAACAACATCTTTGAGCTTGGGAGTCTGTTCTGTTACTTCTGGGAAGGATAATGTCAACACAGGTGCAACACGTCTACAATAAGCCAGTACAGATGTGTGTAAAAGGGTCGAAGGAGCCCAAGAATAGCATGTATTCTGATATGTAGAGGGGACTTCCATCCAAGGACACCCACTTATGGGATTATTTAAGGATATCCTGTTTAACAGAAGATGCCAACCTGCTCTCTCTGTATGTATAGTTGGACGAATGTGGCTACAAAAAGGACTCTGAGGCTAACGTGAAACCGCTATCTCGATTGGATTAACTGTTAAAGAGAAATCAAGCTCGTCTGAATGTGGTATATTAAAAACAATCCAGTATATACAGAACTCAGCGAAATATTGACCCGGAGATGTACTTGATAAACACTTTTTTCTCAAATTTAATGAGGAACACAGCAAATAAATAATGCAAATAAGAAATAAATGAATAAGTATGTGCTCTGTATGCACTTTTGCACTCTTGCTGTGCAGCAGCAGGCAAACAGGCAGAGACTGGGAGGCTCGGAGGAATGTAAAACAGCTAACCTATGCAAAGATTTCAGTCATGTTAGTCAACAAGCTAACACATGGGCATTTTCGGAGATTACTTCTATGCAGTGATGAACAACTGCTGCCCTTGAAAGCTGCTTCCTCCAGACTGTGGGGCAGATTGCTCCGCAGACTGGACGCCACTGTGATCCCTCCCTACACGGAGGCCAAAACACAACAGGGCATTATTGACCCGTCCCAGCTGCAGAGCCTCCACCGCCACAGTTGCTCAGTGGGGCAGCACTAGTCGAGAGCCTAAAGAACTGGGCGACAACGCCAGTTCAAATACCTGGTGCAGCTCTGGAAGTCTTTGCATGGAATGACTCACTAATAATAACAAGAATCAATGTGTTTTAGCCTAAAAAAAAAAGCTCGTACCAGGGTTACAAGACTGCATGCAGAGTCTGAAACAAACAGAGCAAATAGAGCGACCTCCAGCCTGTAGATCAGTCGCTAATTATTTTCATTAACAAATACACATAAATGCAGGATTATGCACACACTGGTTCATGCTATTAAACATCTGCGCTGTTTTTTGTTGTTTCTCCATCTAACCTGAGGCAGTTAAGTGTGACTTTAGGGTGTGAGAAAGTTTTCTTGCCCGTTTTATTAGGCAGCTCGCAACTGCACTGCTTGTGTTGCTGCAAACACATTTGCAATCCCCTGCCAACTTTCCCTGGATAAATAAAGATGAAAAAAAGCAGGTGGTGCTGCTCTCAGCACTCATCCATGAGGAAGCATTTGGACACAGAGGATGCAAGGAATGCCGGACAGGCGTGAATATGGCAGGGCGTGGAGTAAATATGCTTCGAATGGAATGCTAATCTACAAATAAACAACCTAAAGTTTGGCCAACAGGGGAATAGGTGACAGTATGTTTGCGTAGCTCCTTCTCTGACGTTGACTCTGCCCAGGAGAGTAAATGTTGTCCTCTGTCCCCTATCCCACCACCCCAGCTCCTTTAAAAAAAAAAAAATGTCTTGCCACATCTGTTGCCACTGACCCTGGTGTGGATAAATCACAGTTCTGACACTAGCTGGGGTAAATTTGACCACTTCCTGTTTCCAGCCCCATTGGGCCCCCTCTGGAATGTGTGTGTGCAGGACTGTGGAGCTCCACTCAGAGTTAGAGTTTCTAAATGTTGGCAGACCACACTTCTGTGGGTAGCCCAACAGAAAGCAGAGTAGCAGAAATTTAGACAGGACAAACCAAGGAGAGACATCCACCGTTTGCAATAGGTACAGAGGTGTACCTTTAAATTTGATTAATACACAGCGTTCCTATTTAATACCTAAAAACATTTTGAGAGTACAGACCTAAAAGTGTGTTTCTGCTCATTACTTGCAGTCTAAACCCCTCCCCAGTATCTTTATGTAAAACTGTGACATATAAAATTTGTTCCAGCCCTTCCTTCACAAACAAGCATTAATATTCCACACCAGCATGACAAAGGCAGCTCTGTCCTGGTGTTGTATCTTGAACTGAGGCACAATGGAGACAGATTCTAGCCTAAATAATCAGCTGGATAACTGAGGAGGCACATGCTGCTCAGACATGGGGAAGAAAAAAAAACCAGGTCACCATGTTTTAACTCATTCTACGCCACCCCCGACTTCAAAAGACCTCGTTTAAAGCATCCGTTTGCACATTTCCACAGTGCTTAAGCCACAGCAAAGATAGGAAGCTCTGTGTCACTGACCAGCCATGTAATCTTTGGGTGTATAAAATGTCACTAAATAGCAAACTCCTCACATGTGAGATGCTGAAGCGAGGCATTGTTTGACTTTTTTTTTTGACTAAATAAATGACTGCAAATGTCATCATAATATTCTGATAATGTTGTTAGCTAAACATTATTTATCTCCCACTTCAGCTGGCAAATATTTTTACAATTAAGTCTCTTATAATAGTCTGTACAGTGAGAAGAACAATCAACACTTAAAAAATGTTGTGAAGCAACAGATTTATCCTGCACTGTCACAGCAAGGACGATCATATATATGGTGATATAACCTCGTTAAGAAGAGACAAGACGACCATCTGTTTACACAAACATTGAATTTTTTAAATAACTTCCGATAATTGATTTGGTATCTTTGATCCCTAAACAAAAACAACCAAGACAAACTGTGTGCAGCTGGGTTTAAAAGACCAACATATCTTCTGTGTCTACAATAAAAAAAAAAAAAAGACCGGAGTCGCAGACAGATCTGTCACACACCACGAGACCTCCGCATGGAGCTGCAGAGCTGCAGCGTCCACCCAAACAGTGCGGCCTTTGATAGCGCGTCACTCACCACCAGACGGGCCCCCCAACAACCACTGGCCTTCTTTTAATAACACAGCCTCCTCCTCCTCCTCCTCCTCCTCCTCCTCAGCACAAGATGAGAAAAAAAAAAGATTTCTTGGGGAAGCAGACAAGTAAAAGAGTAAAGAAAATGGGAGGAAAAAAGCCCAAGTTTAGGGTTGTAATAATATGAACACATGGCATTTGAGAGTGCCAAGAATAATAATGGGCTCTAAAACCAGTGCATTCCTTTCAAATGAAACCCCATACTCGCCTGGCAGCCACCATACACTTTTCAACCCTATTCATCATCTAAGAGGCAGACTAAGGTAGCACAAAACGCTCCCTCCGTCTGTCGTTGCTGTCATTGTCTCCACTGTGTCGAACTGAAAAGCGCCGATGGTCGCCGAAACACAGTTTTCCGCAACATATTGCGTGTCAGAATCTGAAAATCGTTACATTCATTGGCCGCTAATGAAGCTGAGAAGGACACAGCTCGAGCAGAGCGTGTTGTGCAAGCAGCAGAGAGACAGATTACATAAAATACAGCAGCCTCTGGCAGCGCTGCGAAGGGATATGAGAAAGAGTTTTGGGGCTTACCGACTACTTTGGGCAGTTTCTGTCGCCTCAGTGGAATACGGGGAAGTTTAGTGCTGATTCGGCTGAAACGTCCACACAAGATCCGTTTGGCTTTTTTGCTGTTGGTAGAGTTGTCTTGGTTAGGATTGAAAAAAGGGATGACGCCATGGAAATCCAAATGAATCATTCAAAAGAGGCATTTTTAACCCTGGCCCTCTGCCGCCTTTTTTTTTTTTTTTTGAGGGCTCAGGGGCTGCTCATATTGCTATTCACACTGCAATGTCAATACATAAAAAGTACCTAAAATACAATTTATATGCATTTATTCCTTTAACAACCTGGTACCTGCGAGAAAAGAAGTATAAAAGAAAATATTTTCATAACCGGGGCGAGCCTCCGAGCAGAAACTCAAACCTCTCGGACTGTCAGGGAGGTGAAGGCGCCTATCTGTCACTCACTTGTGGTCGTCTTTGTGTCGACACAGGCAGCAGCAGCACAGCAGCGAGAGGAGGACGATCAGTAGAAAAGAGACCAGGGTTCCAGCTGCGATCACACCCATCCGCTGGTTGGGCTCTGAAAGATGAAATGCAGGGAATTCTGGGTGTGCCACACTGGTGCAGGGAAGCTCTGAATGCCAGTTTCAACACATCAACGAACAATGAAAAAAAACAAATCTGGCATATAAATCTACAGTCACTCAATGTATGTGATGTTTAATAATGTGATAGCATTCATAATAAAGATAAATGGTGTTAGGGATTGGTTTCGTGCTCTCGGTATCTCTGAGGGAAAAGAGGTAGCAACAGGCTGAAACTCATAACAAATACACCAAAATTAAACCTACCTCCCTCTAACATGGGACCACTTAGCCTTTCATCATAGCCCCCTCTGTACGCTACACACCCTTCGCCATAAGTCATCGATGATTTATCAACACCCCTCCCTCCCTCCTCAAGTGGAATACACCCCCAAATTTAATAACTGCACTATTGCATAAGTGTGAATGGCATTTTTGCAAGAGCAGATGACACCAGAAGGCGAGTAAAACTATCCGTTAAGGGGGTTGAACAACAGTGACCTTTGGGTTTTTAGACTGTCAGATAATTCTGAGATGGATGGTTGGACAGTCTCGGCGTGGCATGTTGTCACTGCTGGTTCGGAGAGGGGGTGAGATAAACGTGACAAGGTCTTTGTGATATCACTGAACAACTTGCCGCCACCCATTATGACATCCCTGCTATCTTTGTGCGCTATACATTGATTTTCTCCATGCAGGCGTTCAATAATCTGTTTCCAAACTGATTTTTTTTCCCCCCTCCATTCAAAATTCTATTTTTCTATCCTTTTCTCCATCTCTCTCTCTTCGTTTATTCTTCCTTCCTTCCTTCCTCTTCTCTGGCTGGACAGGAACACAGCCAACAAACACAGCCATAAAAAGGACACCGGTCTAGGTCTGGAAACACTATCAAGGTCCCTAAATCTCCCACAACTCACAATGACCTGGATAGATGTGTTTGTTGGTACTCAGTGTGTACAGCCAACTGTTGGCGTATAAAATCTGGACAAACGGTTTCGAGTGTTGGAATTCTTTTACAAAAACAAATATCGTTTTTCTCCATGAAAAGGTAGATCATTTGGAACAACTAACTAACCTCAAAACATGTAAGAAAAGTGAACATTTTCTTACGGAGATGGCAGGCACCCGACACAGGATCGCAGTTCTTGTCATGACAAGAGCAGGTTTGGTTGCAGTTGACTCCATACTGTCCAGGTTGACAGGTCATATTGCAGCTTGAGCACAGAGAAGAGACAAAAACAACATCTGTTTAATGTTCGTTCCAAGCGACAGATGTGTAAAAAAAAAAAAAGGGACAAAACGGAAGGCAGAAATGAGATAAGTGGGACGAGCTCTTTGTTCCGAGTCTCTGTGATGAGATTTTGTAAGAATTTCACTTCAATTCCAAAGAATGTGTTTCATCAATTGAGAATATGCCTCAAAACCTTAAAAACGCTCAATCCTTCACATCTCAAGATACGTGCGACAAAACTAACATGAAAGCCATCACAATTTTTCACTGCAAACCTGCCGAGGGCATAAACATACATATTTTTCCAGGCTAGGAGGTGTCTTATGACTTACTAGGTTCCATAAAACCCCGGGTCACACAGGCACTCTCCGGTGACAACGTGACAGATGCCGTTGAAACAGTGACTGCAGTTGTTCTCGCAGTTTTCGCCGTACGTGCCGTTGGGGCAGCGCACCTCACACCTAACAAACGCAGAAGGAATGTCGTGATTACTGTCATTTTCATGCTTACAAGTACGAGTCATGGATATTATCACCATGCTGGAAATTAGTACTATAGCAGCCACTAGTTAAACACACTGCTATTTTGTTTTAGGAGTCTGAAGTGACAACTAAATACCACTGTGTTTGTTTTGTCTGTGTTGTACTCTGCCTGTGTTTTCTTACCTGTCCCCAATCCAGCCGGGGTTGCAGTGAGAGCACTTGCCGTGAATGGGGTCACAGTGGTGGCCGTCTTTGCAGGTGGGACACACTTCCTGGCAGTTTTCGCCAAAGAAGCCCTTGGAGCAGAGCTGATCGCACCGAGTCCCGTTCCAGCCCCGGTCGCAGGTGATGCAGCGTCCCTCCGTCACCTTACAGGGCTGCTGGCCTTTGCAGTGTCCACACCTGGCAGCGGCCAAGCAAAGCAGAGCAGGAACCGTCAGTTGGCTTTGTCACACAAAAAAAATCCTCCTTCTCGTTTAAAACACAGTGAAAGCGTCTGTGCTTTAAATTGCTTCTCTAATGATCATTTAAAGAGGGAGATAAAAACTGAACTCTCGCTGTGTTCTTTTCGGTTTATAGCGGCCGTATTGTGTGAAAGCAGCACAGTCCGTGGAAGGTAAATCACTTAACCTGAATTGCTTTTACATGTTGGCTGCTGATTATGGGATAATGTGAATACCAGTCCTCAAATCTCACTCTATCACTGCTCCATTAAGTTACATGTTCAGATATTTTAAGGGTTATCAGCTGCGGCATATATCAAATCTTATTTCCTATCAAAACCGCACCATAATATGGATCAGTCATGGAAACTGCGTGTACAACTGCGTGTTTCCTGTGTTTTTGAAAAGGTACATTTGCTCTCTGCCAAGTTTTTTTCCTCCCACCTGTTCCTGCAGTTTTGACCGTAGAATCCAGCAGGACATGGTTCCCTGCAGAACTTCCCACGGTACCCTGGCGTGCAGGTACACGAGCCGTCAGCCTGATTGCACTTGCCATGGATGCACTGGCAGTATCGCTCGCACCGCGGGCCCCACAGCCTCTCGCGGCACTGGCAGCGTCCCGTGAACTGGTCGCACGGCGAGCTGTTACAGTTGCACTGGATGGCGCAGTTCCTCCCCGTCCAGCCAGGATTGCACAGACATCTTCCCGTCATGGCATCGCACACAGAGTTGATGCTGCAGTAGCAGTTGTTGTTGCACTGGGGACCCCAGACGCCGGGGTGACATGTGCATTTTCCTGTATCTTGGTCACACTTCCCCTTCTGGCATAGGCACGCATTCTCACAGTTCGGTCCCCATCGATTGTGGTTGCAGGTGCACTCGCCGGTTAAGTCATCGCACTGGCCATTGGGGTAGCAATTACATTTCCCCTTGCAGTCCGGGCCCCAGAACTGGGCAGGGCACTCTGTTAAAAGACAGTGTCATCAGGAAATGGGGGAATTCTTGTCAAAATCCTTAAACAATAAGAATTCACAGTTGTGCAAATGACTCTGGGAGTCTGTACTGAAGCCAAGTAGTCCTAACACACTGACGTTCAGCAGGGATGATGTTCACAGCAGTCACATTTTAGTTTCCCGTGTTAGCAACATTTGCTAAGTCGGGTTAAACACAACACTGGTAGCTGATTTTTTGTTAGAATCCATAATACCTTACAAGTGACACTGGCATTAGATGAACATCTATTTTTTTGAAGCTTATTTTTTGAATCCCAAAGGGAACATGATACTAAATGTTGTGGCAATCCATTCAATAGTTGTTCATAACGTCGAAGTAAAAGCCACAGGATCACCACAATCTGTAGGATTTGTCCTGCTGAGCACCGTGACTGTTTATACAAAATTTTACTGGACAATTGTTGACATATTTCAGTCTGAATCAAAGTGCTGCACAACTGACTGACTACAAAAACCTGCCACCTCTTGAATTGTGCACCTAACGTGGCTAAACAACCGGTTCTATTGAAAACCGATTCCATTCATTTGCCCTTTAAACATCACAACATCTAGAAATTCCGATTAAAATGAAAGTGAAAAGATCTCTTACTAGTGTCACAGCTAGCTCCAAAGTATCCATGACGACAGCGACATTCATTCGGCCTGACACACACCTCATTTTCCTTGCAGGTGAAGTTGCCTTCACAGAGAGCTGTGGTGAGAAAGAACAGGCCGCATTATTCAAGCGGGCTTGCACAATGAGCCATATGACACACGCTGATAAATGTTAGCGCTCTTTTATGGTACGTACGTGTCAGGCATTCATCCCCTAGCTGCCCCCATCCACTGCAGCACACCGATCCCGAAGACCTGGAGGAAGAAAAAAAGGAGAAAAAAGATACGGAAATGAGAGGGGGGACAGACGAAACTAAAATACAGTAAAACAAACACATATCAAAGGGGCAACATCCACACCCAGCTCATGCCTCTCTGATCTCACAGCTCTCATTGATGTGGCCAAATTCTGCGAATGCACACAAGCTATTGTACATGACGCATATGCTTAGCACATTGTAGTGTAATTATCTCAATTTGGGTCACTGCAATCTGTGCAAAATACACTCTAATCTGCGCAGCTTATCAGGATATTTAGCTTCCCTCAGCCCTCGGGGAGGCAGCGTGAATATTTTGCAGACAAGTTTTGAGGCCTGACAGGAAAGGATGGATGCGTCTCCTCTTCCTCCCACGCCTGTGACCTCCGTGGGGCCCCTGCAACACGTCAACTTCCCCTAAATTGTTCGAAGATGACAGTTTGCTTTCATTTAACGCAAAAGGGAGCAGCACTGTTTCTTTATTATGCCAAAATAGGCACGCGCTGGAGATCACAGGTCGAACTTCTGTGTTCTTTGTCTTGTTATGAAAGGAAGATGATTTCTAAATATGTTTTTCTTTTTACCACTTTATGTTCGAAATATGGCACTGGATGTTGCTTTTTTTTTACCAATTTGACCTTTGTTGACCTTTAACACGAAGCCAATAGGTGTCAGAACCCAGGACGATGAATTGCATTCACTGTTTTGTGAAATTATTTTCGGTGTTTAGAGGCATAGCTGCAGTCCTGCGTGCCTTTCATTACAGCATAAAGAACGCACCGACTACCTCTGCCAAACGCTTCAATGGCCGCTCTTTCACCGATTTGAAAACACATTTTCTGCATCAGTGCTGAAAACATCACAAGACTAACGGCTTTGGGTTTTTTTTTTTTTTTGTTCCCAAAATGTTGAACACTTGAAGCTAGAAAACAATGAGCGTTAAAGACATCAACAAGCAGCTGGGTTGGGATGTGTTGCCGTTCCAGCCAGATTCAGCAGCTGATTTTGTAATGTGAGGACTCATATTGGAAACGCTGACAAGTGATGATAAATGCTGAACTACTTCCCGCTATTCAAGTCAGAAAAAATAAAAACATAATGGGCATAATGGAAAAAACAGGCGAGTGGTGAGTGACGAGTTCACTGTAATGAATGCTGAATGCTGCAAGGAGGGCAAAATGTCAAACTTGTAGAGCAGCAGGAGCCGGCAATAGGCTTTATAAACTGATATATATATATATGTACATCACACTGAAAGCTTCACAAAGCACCAAGGATGTGTTTTCCATGCTGAATGACAATTTGCTGCCCAGCAAAGCAAAAGAAAAATCTACGAGATGACAGCGCAACTTCAGCTTTTGAGGAGCAGCTCCTGATTACTTTCATTCCGAGCGCACAGGAAAATGTGTGGCTTTTCAGATAAGCTGTTTTCAGCGTTGGTCCAAGAACATTTACCGCACAGGAAACATTCACTTTCTTTTTCAGTTCTATGCTCATCCATCCTAAAAAAATAAAAAAATAAAAAAAAATCTGCAAAGAACAAGTTGTGCGAAAAAAAAGACACTTCAGCAAACAATAAGCGCTTATTCTTAGAAAACATACTGGAGAATTAGCTCTGAAGTACATTTGCTGTTTCTGGCCTCTCGCATTTTCAAGATTTATAGACATCAGTCCAACGAGCTTGGATGCTGCAGTCAGCAATTGTGGACTTGGATGCTTTTCTTTTACACCAGACATCCACATTAGCTCATCCAAAACTGCTTTTTGAATATCTTTGAGAGCAGGCTGTCTGGATGTGTGGATTCCTAGAATATGATACTATTACTTTTCACACAATTGATCTTTAATATTAACCAAAATGTGATTAAAGCTTCAGAGTCTAATTTATAAAGTCATTTAAGCTTTACAACAACAGTGTTATCCAAAGGTGCCACGACTGCGTCAGTGAGAGCGCCCCCTACAGAGCAAACACAACAGTCCTGCTCCAGATGCACACATCTGTATAGCTGCTTTCTTCAATGGACTCCTCCTCCTGCTGCAAGTTACAGCAAAATGCGCTATATGTAAGAAAGAAATAGGTCAACGTGAAGGGATCTATCGAAAAACAGTGTTGCTAAGACCTCTTGATTAAAAAAAAGTTTTAGAGAAAGTTTGTGGTCAGAGGATGGTTCAACTAAAACTTTTTTTCCACTTTGCTGAGAACCGCTATTTGTGCATGTGGTCCACTCCGCAAAAAAAAAAAAAAAAAACCTTGAAGTTCTCATTGTCTCAAACACATTTTTCCCTTCAAGAAAACTGATAAATACAACAAGAATGCATGAATACCACTTTTTCTTCTCTTTCTTTGTTTTAACCCTCCAACTTTGTATGTTCAGAGTGAATTCCCGAACGGCAGAAAAACTTACAGACAAATCTGATTTGCATTAACAACCAGTGAAATAAATCCCATTTCCTACTTCGCTGCATGCTTACCCAGGTGCTTTGCACACATTCCTGCCTTTAGGGTTGAGTTCTTGGCTGAAACCGGAGCAAAAGAAAAGACAAACCACCGCAACAACAGCAAAAGAGTTCTTCACTTCCATTGTACAAGCAGCAGCATCCTTCTAGACGCCGTTTTCACTCCGCATTTCCCCCCTTTCTCCAAAAGTACTGATGCTTTCACTCTTCTTCACCGGCGTCCTTTTACGCACATAATCCAGATGTTTCTGCGTTATAAATAAGCGTTTAAATCCTTGTTTTGAGGTGTTTTAAAGAGTCTTGTCACCACCTACGCCATCGAGAAACTCAGCAGCAGGAGAGAAAAAAAAAAAAAAAACTGACCAGCGACAGCAATCCCAACCGCACAGATGAAAAAAAAGTCATTAAACCCAAACTTCACAGTGTTCTTCATGAAGGTTGTTCTCCTGCAGTGCGCTGTTTATTCCATGCAAGGCTCTATAAAAGGCCATTACGCAAATGGCTCCCAACTCATAATGAATAAAAAAAAGCAACAACTTTTTTTTTGGCCACAAATAAGGCTGGAAACGTACAGATTGTTGATAATCTTTTTCCAAGAAAACAACAATAAAGCAGATTAACTCCGTTTCGCTTTTTTCGTCCTCCCTGAGGAGAAGCGCTTAATCCGTAACTTTGGTCCTCTCTTGCGCTCTCAGGAGTGGCAGGAGGGAAATTCCTGATTTGTTACTCTATCTTTGGCTTTGTGCGCCATGCGTGCGCCACCAAATTTACATAGGCCTGTGTGCAACAGGGTCTGCGTTAATGGCCCAGGTTAAAAAATAATAATAATAAATAAATAGTTAAAAATAAAAAAAATCATGTCGCCTAATTTACCATTTTAAAAAAGAATAAATGTAATAATAAATATAAAAATAAATAGTTTTAAATGTAATAGTAATTATCCTGACTGCCACAGACTGCTCCACATTTTATTCTCTTGAATTTATTTAACAAAATAGAAAATGACAGCATTTGATTTGTAGAACAGTAACCACCTTAAAATCCCTATTTTAAAGTACTTTTAACTGATGGATGAGGAAAGTGTGTCTTTGTGTTGGGGGCTGGAGGGGGCAGCAGTGCAGTAACTACATGTGAGACAATAGCTCCCCCATCTGTTAACACCAACGAAGTGGTGATGACATATGGCACCTGCCTGCACTAAATCCTCCAGATAAATGCAAATGTTGAGCCTCTTAATCCAAGAAAGATGCTTTTTTTGTTTTATTTTTTTGCTGTTTACATGAGATGCATAATAACTTCCATTCCAATTACCTTTTTTTTTCTTTTGTTTTTGAACAAATGGTTGCACAATACATGTGTCTGGGGTCTCTTTTTTGTTCACTGTAGAAAATCTCATTCCAGCTGTGAGCTTTGTGGATCTTTAGGGGTCTTTAAAAAGGATTCAGGAAATAAGCTGCGCCCTTTAAAACTGTTACGACATCTTTGTCCGTATGGCAACACAACCTGTTGTCAAAATTCAAAATAGAAAACTGTGGCGACCGTAAACAGTTCGTCACATTTTGTTTTTTATTTTTTATTTTTATAATTAGACAATTTATATCACTTTCTGGTGTTTTCACTATCATTTATATGCTCACAAAAAGCAGATTTGGTCCTCATGTTGTGTAATTCATGTGCACTGTCATGCATAAAAAATAATGTTGCAGAGGTGGAATTGTGAGTCCCACAACTACTTAAATATTCTACAAGCATGAGATTATTTGTCTTGCAAATTATTTTGAAAAACAGTCTGTCAGTCCCTCTCCATTATAGTGTTCTATATAGTGGTGAAGTTTGTTATTTCTTGTAAGAAATTATTGAATCAAAACAATCAACGGTCTAAGAAGAAAGTTTCTCTTTAAAGTTTCTCTCTGGTCACCCATTTAACCCCTAAGAACTACTTTCTGTGTGTTACAGTTGCATATTTAAAACTTTTTTTTCCCCATGTGAACAATTGCTTTCCGTCGTAAAATGGCTTAGATGTCAACTCCTTCCCATTCGCTGCAGCTCAGCACACCAGCTCATCTACAACTCTGCTCAAACACTGTAAAACTACTTAATATGCTACACAATGGCAGTTTGCAATACTGGAGTAATGCAACCAGACATGTTCAAACTGGAAGCTGATTCTGAAGAAGGACAAAGACACAGAAAATCCCTACTCCACAATGCGACACAACTTGTTCATTAGCCATGTTATTTATTACACCCCTGAAGTCCAAATCCGTGTTTTTGAGACTGTCATTAGCACAATGCTCTGTCAAGATTATGTATATAAAAAGCTCAGTCATCCTGCTAACTGCTTTTTTCACTCATGATATGTAGCCCAGCGTTTAAATAAACACCATATGGACACATAAACAAGCTGAAAAACGAGATTTTCACTGGAGGGAGTCATTAGCAAAATGGATAAACTGGATTGCAAGTGAAGTGATAAAATTGGCAGTAAAGTAAAACCGGGGGGGATGAACTGTCAACATGCAAAATGCACGATTTCAGAGTGAAATATTATACATCACTGTTGTTTGTAGTCATGGCTAAGTCAATATTTAAAGCCACTTTTATTCTGCATCTACAGGATGTTTATGATTATTTGATTGTCGGTTATATTAAATCAAAGTCCGAAACTAAACCTGCCGTTAAACGCTTGTTCGGTTTATTTTCCCGTCACAATTAAGGTCGAACACGTGGCACAATAAATTAAAAACAAATACTCACAGAACCAGTATTCTGCCGCCTCAGGGCTCAAATAGCTGTTTATCTTCCGGGTGGAACACGTGACAAGGCCGTGATTGGTTCGCATTAAGAAACTGGATCCTGATTGGCTCCTACAGCTACATTGCTGGAACACAACTTAGCGCATTCTATCTTGCAATTTTTACTTCACTTATTCATTTAAAGTGGCGGAAAAAATATAAGGGCAGCACACAAAAGGTCTTCTAACTTAAAGAACAAGTTAAAATAAATGTCATTTCAGTTGTAATGGTTAGAAATGTAAATTTAGTCAACAGTGCAGGAGAAGTTTTTGGGTTATTCAACTGGTGACAAATTTTCAACCACTGAGGTGATTCACAACCTAGTCAGGTGTGACTTTAAAGGACCGTGATCAGACAGCGTGACCAGTATACAGACACTTGATGAGCAGTGACTATACAAGACCACCTTAACATGCAGCTTTATTCATATCACAAGATGCCGTAGCTGACACGTGAATGACAAGAAAGGAATCATTGGCCTGCTGGCATGTCAGTTAGGCTTGTGAATGTCGTTTAGACTTTTTTTCAGGACACTGTCCATTCAAAGTACTACTTATACTTTTTGTGGTTAATTCCACCCAATGTACTATTTTCTGACCAAGTACTTACACTTTAAAAGGTTTATTCCACCCAAAAAGTGGTTTGTAGCTACCACGCCATAGGTTAAAGGTTTATTCCTTCCAAAGCTGTACATAGCTCTTTTTTTTATATTTGCTCTACCCAAACTGTACTTTCCCTTTTCCACCCAAAATAACTACTTATAGTTTTAGATATTTGCTTTACCAAAACAGTACATTCTAACCAAGAGTTATTGTTTTACAGGTTTATTCCAGCCAAACTTATTCTTGTAGTTTTATTGGTTTGTTTCATTCAAAATATTGTTTTCTGTCCCAGTACTTACAGTTGTAAAGGTTTACTCCATACAAATACTAATTTCTAACGAGTAATGGTTTTAAAAGTATATTCCATCCTAAATCCATCCTAAATCCTCCTTATAGCTTTATGTGTTTGTTCCAAAATTCAACTTAATGTCCAAGTTCTTCAAAATGCTCCTTTTGTTCAAATACTTATGCTTCTATAGGTGTATTCCACTTAAATAGTACTCAACTAACAAGTTATGCTTTAAATATTTAGTCCAATTAATACTATTTTGATTAGTTTGTTACACTCCAAATACTACTTATTGTCCAAAAGGTTTATTCCACCCACTATACTACATTATGTCCAAATATTCGTAGTTTAAAGGTTCATTCCATTCAAATAGCACTGTCTAACTAACAAGTTATGACTTTAAAGGCTTATTCCAAAAAAATAATGAATTAAGGCTCCTAGAGATGCTTGAACCTGCACAGATCGTCTGTTTTTTTTTTATAACAGAACTTTATTTAACAATGAATGTACACATAAGGAATTGTACAAATAACATAAACAAACAATTGGACAGACATGTGCTCATAATGGTACATGTATTTGACAATTTTAATGTTAATCAAAAAATAAACAATATTTAAAAAAAAAAAACACACACACACACACACAAAGGGGACAAGATATTTAACAGTTTTATTGCTTTTTTGCTTTTTATTTTATTGAATGTTCTAATATGTTTTTCAAAGTCAATAAATAATTTTACAAAATGTGGTTTTACATTTGCCAGTCTACATTTGTGAATTTGCCATTAAAATAATCAAGAATTCTATTTCTTTTTTGTGTGTGATCAAAGTAAGTTATAACACTTTTACTATCAATTTTAACATCAATTGTAGTTGTACACAATATATAATTCTTAATTTGATTCCATAAGATAGTTGAATACGGACAATGGAAAAATAGATGACATCAGGATTCGGTGTCATTTTTACACAAAGTACATTTATTTTTAATTTCTAAAAATTTGGATAAGTATGAATTTGCTGCATATTGTGGAAAACATTAATGTGTACTTGTTTAACTTTATTGTTAATACAGAATTTATGTGGGAACAGCCATGTTCTTTGCCAATCAATGTCTGTTAAGATACCATTCCAAAACAGTACCTTATATGTTTATTATTACATTTATGATCCATAATGTCTATACCATCAACAAACAGAAGGGGTTCTTAGTACTTCTTAACATTGTAAGTGACTCCTCATCAGGTGGCGCGGACCATTGAGAATGCGCACATCGTCTGATGCGGAAAAACTTTTTGGCAAGTGCGTCACAGTAAACCGACCAATCAGGTGACGCCAATGTGACAGTCGGGCCTCCCGTTTGTTTACACCGCCCGCGTGCGCAGCTAGCGAACACAACCGCTCTGCTAGCTCCGCCGACCTCCACCTCATCCTGCCCCCGCTGGTATGTTCAACGTTAAGACCGTGTCCGCCCTCACACGGGCCCGGGCGGACATTCACTTTAAACGGTTCACCTCCACCCGGAGACTCCGCTCCACCGCCACCTCCGCCTCGACGGAGCAGGAGGACGATGTCAGAGGCGGCGGCGGCGGCGGCTCGACTTCCTCGCCTCGGTCGGAGTGTCCCGGAGAGTCTGGGAGCAGAAGAGGAGGAGAGAGAGACGCTGCTAATGAGATCTCCGTAGACTTTGACCAGACCCAGGAGGCTTATAAGAGCAAAGACTCATTAGAGCTGCTCAGAAGTTTGGTGGTTTTCAAACTTTGCTCCTATGACTTCCTGGTTGATAAGAATAAAGAGGTAATGAGGTGCTATCTCACTGTGCTAATATGAATTTAGCTGCTTAGAGTTTAGGCAAAGTTAGTGTTTACTTCTGTTTGACAAGGAAAGGGCATGTCAACATCAAAGCAAGAAGTGATAATGTGTTATTATCATATATTATCACCTTCATAGGCAGGTATGTTCATAGTTGTGTGCTTATACATAGATGTGT